TAAATACATTATTTTCAATTGTTTAAAGAACATTCCAATTATGCTACATAACGACTTACAGAATATTTTATTTTATTTGAATAATATGAATTTTTTTAAATACCTATCGGATTTTTTTTTATTTTGTCACGAAATGAAGAGGAAAAAGAGAAAAAGTTATATTTTTATCATTCATGGATTGTACGACCAAGTTGTCTACATCACTAGTGCGAATGGTTCTATGCAGATGTTGATTAATTGCTTCTTACAACTACTTTGATATTTATTAATTACTACTGATAAAAATCATTTTGTCCGAACCATATAACATCGAGCGCTTAGATATACGAACTGTGTCGCAATTGCTTATAATGCAGTTCAGTTCACACGTAGTCAGAGCGACTGTAGGGTAAAACGGGGATAGATGCCGCAGTGGGATAGGTGCCTCGTTTTCAAAAACCTAACTTCCCCAAAACGCAACAAAGAATAATTAGTTTAAATAAGGAGTGTAGACACCATTCATCAAAGTTCCTGTAGGGCTTCATGTGGAATAGACGCGTTTGGCTTGTGCATGCGTTTATCTCCGCGACGAACACGATAAACGGTTCAACATTTCAGACGCAAGTATTTACTGTCGTGTACCTTTTTATTTTTATTATAATTATACACTGGTTGATTAACTGCTCACCTAGGTGTCAATAATCGCTCTTTTGTATATAGTTTAGTTATATAATAAAAGGGCATCTATCCATATCGAATGGGGCAGTCGCCTCGTCGCGATTTTTCGCGGTATAGGTGCAAAGGACAAGAGAAGAAAGTTAGGAAAGAAAATAAAAAATACATTATTTTAGTGAAAAAGACATGTAAATGATAATAGTTTAAATGTAAATAAAAGTACCAAAAATACAAATTATTTACAGTTCTAACAGCGAACATTTTTGTATAGAATGTTTTGATAGCTACAAAAAAAACGAAGTGAAGTAGGTATTAACTTTAAATACGTATATATTTATATTAAAGATGTAATATGTATATACAATATATTAAAGACTACAAATAAAACATGTTATTATGAATTTTATTATTTTATTCTAAAGGGCATCTATCCTTCTTAGTATTTTCATTGTGTGGCGTCTATCCATATAGGTAGGCATTTATCCTCAGAAAAATAGGTTTGCAAAAAGTCAATTTCTTCAAAATCAGTAAATGTTAGATCAATAAAATCAAGTATTAATGTAATGTAAAAGATTAAACTAGTTACATCCATAGTAATTATTCATGGTAAAGTAATAATTTTTAAATTAGAAAGCCCTTTCAGAAAGTGGGGCATCTATCCCGGTTTTACCCTATCACAATTACCGACTGCTAACACAGCTGGCAATGTAGCCCCTTCACCACATGCAAACTACATTTCGACAGCACTACAAGTACTAGTTAAAACTAGTACTAGTCCAATGCAGTTGGAATTCATCTCGTGTGACTTCACCCTAAAGGAACAATAACCAAAGATTCAATAAAAAATACCACAATATAAACAGGCGAAATTACGTCGAGCGTTATAATATTATTTCTAGAGGCATTATCGTCTAAATCACATCGCGCCCATTTACGGTGTTTAGGTATTTGCACACTATTGTTAGTGGCGTTGTGTATAAAATAAACATTTGTTATAAGGGATGTGAAATTCACCGTGGTTTAGGGTTTGACTCGTTTGAATCTGGTTCATTTATGCATGTAGTTAGTAAATGGGTAGTAAACAGGGACTGTTCGTGTTTATTGATTTTGACTTCTAAGTTCGTCTTTTTCATTATTACGTAGGTACATGTACCTTATTATAATTATTTTTTGTGCCTAATCTTTGAATATGAAAATCCATTTTTGGATATGACGACGTTAATGTTGTCGAGCACTGCAATGGTCTTTATTACTTATATTTCTACGTATACGTACATAAATAAAAATTTGTAAATGTCACTCAATCGTAAATTAAAATGAGTGAGTCTTGAGTTTGCTGTTCGACATCACTGTTTGTTATGGCGAGGGACGGCACAATATCGCGCGGCATATCCCGAATTACCATCAGAATGGAGGCGGCTGATGTATGACCGGCCAGCATTACCGTCAGGCAGGTCGGCTTTCATACCGCATCGGTTCCACATTTAAATAGGCGACGCCGTTGTTCCCCGAAATGGCGGCAAGTGCCGTTTATGATTTGCACTCTTATTGTTTTTGGTGCCTTATTTTTAATATTACAATTACACGGAAATGTTGATGAGAACGTGACACCTTTATTAGATGACGGAGACCTAGAAGGATTTCTTTTATAATTTTTTTTGGGAACACATTGATAATCGATCCACGTTTATTAATTAAAATTTAAAAAACGTCGATGCAAAACTGTACGTACACTTCAAAAAGTTAATTTTTTTTATAATATCGAATGACGGGACGAACAAGTCGTGTGCCTGGTGTTAAGCGACATGCTTGTTAATGTACAATAACCGTTGTAGTGCCACTTAGTGCCTTAAATCGCAAATATCTGAGCGGTACTGCCATTGCGCCTGTCACCCTGAGACATAAGTTGACAAGTTCCACGTGATAAATAATGAACACGGTGTTAATCGTAGTACGTTTATTTTTGAACTGCGGTACAGAAAAAAGCCGAACCACAGATTGTGTTTTCGGCAAATACCCACTTATACATAACACCTTCACCCTTATTCTAAACTAATACTAGAAACAATTAATTTTAAACATCCCAACCATAGCGAACGGGTGGCCTTACAACTGGCCGTAATGGCTCGGGCCGCACGCGTTCAGTGGCGGGCGAGCCAGGCTGCGCCTGCTCCGCGGGTTGGTTCGGAACCGGCGCCGGGCGCGCGATGTTGTCGTCGCTAGTGCCTTCCCTCTCCCCCGACCTCGAGCTCGACGCATGCTCTGTAGCTTCTGCTACGGGTAAACAACTCGGTGGATAAATACGCGTATTCTTACGTTGTGCAATTCCCTCACCACTTGAATCACGTTTCCTTAATTGATCTATATGCCGATGCATTATACCTGTTAACGTTTCTATCCTATAATCAGTCTCCCCCATTCGTTCCAACACTTTTCCTTTCCCCCAAGTATTAGGACCTGAGGTGTTAAATAATTTAAACCAAACTAGTTCGTCTACATTAAACGATCGAGGTTTTCCGTCTGCAGTAGCTTGATGCTGTCGTTGGAAAGAATTTACCCGTTTTTCTCGGTCTGGCTTAAGACAATCGAGTCGGGTACGTACCGGCCTACCTAATAATACCTGGGCCGGACTATCCCCTGTAGTGTTGTGAGGAGTGTTGCGATACACAAGTAGGAATCTGCTTAGGGCAGCGTCTACGTTGACAACTTGAACTATAGCTTTCTTAATAACCCTCTTGCACAGCTTCACTGCATTTTCAGCAAGGCCATTAGAGGCGGGGTGATAAGGTGCCGAAAATAGTTGTTCAATACCATTTTGTTTACAAAATGCCTGCAACTCCTCACTCGCAAACGGCGGACCGTTATCACTAACGATCTGCTTGGGTAAACCGAACCTCGCAAAATGTTCTCTCAGCTTACTCAGGACAGCTTTAGCTGTAGTGGTAGACATGCTCGTCACCTCTATCCATTTGGAGTAAGCGTCAACAAGTACTAGATATTTTGTTCCCGAAATAGGCCCCAAAAAATCGACATGTACTCTAGACCAAGGACGACTAGGATATGGCCACGGGCAGGGCACGTGGCGCGGCGGTGCGGCGGCCACTGCGGCGCACACTTCGCAGGCGCGGCACACCCTCTCCACCGCCTCGTCCAGGCCGGGCCACCATACATAGCTGCGCGCCAACGCCTTCGTCTTCACCATGCCCATGTGGGAATCGTGTAGCTCCTTTAGGACTCGCTCCCGGCACGCGCTTGGAATAATCACTCTGTGCCCCCACATGATGCAATCTAACTCTAAATAAAGTTCCGCCTTCCGACTATAAAAAGGTTTCAATTCCCGAATTTCTATATCTTGAGGCCAGCCGTCCCTTATGTAGCTTAACACCCTACTTAACAGAATATCGTTATGTGTTTCCTTCCTAATATTGTTATAATCCAGCAGTAAGGCGTTCGTAGCAAAATGTAAATATGTTTGTTCCGGGCACTCCTCCTGGCCTGAACCCGTAGCCTTATGCGCCGCAATCAATCGTGAGAGTGCATCCGCTGTGTTATCATCCGACTTGACATATTCAATGTCGAAATCGTACGCTGATAATATCAACGCCCAGCGCTGCATACGGCTGGCTGTCATGCTGGGAATTCCCTGACCTGGTCCAAAAATACTGACGAGCGGTTTGTGGTCGGTTCGCAGCACAAAACGTCTACCGTAAATATATTGATGAAATTTTTTCACCGCAAATATTATCGCTAAAGCCTCCTTGTGTATTTGGCTATAGTTAATTTCGGGCGGCGTGAGCGCCCGCGATGCGTAAGCGAGCACGCGCTCTCGGCCGCCGGCGCCGTTGCCGCGCGTGGCCAGCACCGCGCCGATCCCGCGCGGGCCCGCGTCACACGTAAGCACCAAATCCCGCTCCGGGTCGTAATGTGCCAGCACCGGCGCCTCCACCAAAAGCCTTTTTACTTCGTTAAACGCCCTATCCTGCTGAACCGACCAAGACCACCTCCTATGTTTTTTTAATAATTCATAAAGAGGCGCTAATTTCTCGCTCAAACCTTTAATGAATTTGCCGTAAAAGTTTACCATGCCAATAAACGATTTCAATTCCGACACACAGCTCGGTGGCATCATTGCTATAATTGGTTTCACTTTGTCCTCATCTACCCTCACCCCATTTTTATCAATCACAAATCCCAGATATTTCACCACATTCACCAAAAAAGAACACTTCTGTTTTTTTATTTTAAGCCCATGTTGGCTTAAAGCCTGCAAGACTTTATTAAGACTGTCTAAATGTGAGTTTAAAGTGTCCCCTGTAACCAAAATATCATCCAAAAAAAATGTTACGTTCGGAATGTCTATCAAGAGATTATTCATTATTCTTTGGAAGATTCCTGGGCTGGAAGATAATCCATAAACTAAACGCTTATACCTAAACAAACCCCGATGAGTGTTTATAACCGTGAAAGCCATCGATTCGTCCTCCTCTAATAATATTTGATTGTAAGCCTGCGATAAATCTAGTTTAGTAAAGTACCTACTGCCATTCAATTTTGAAAACAAATCTTCGATTTTAGGAATCGGAAACTTATCAACCAACAACACGCGATTCAAAGTGGATTTGTAATCTGCACATAATCGTAACGATCCGTCCGGTTTGTTTACAATTACCAATGGCGTAGCCCAGTCGGAGTGGTCCACCGGCTCAATGACGCCGGTGGCCAGCATGGCGTCGAGCTCGGCGTCGACGCGTGCGCGCAGCGCGTATGGTATCGGCCGCGCCCGGCAGAACACCGGCACCGCATCCGGCCGCACCCGCAGCCTGGCCCGCTCGCCGGTGAAACACCCCAATCCCTCATCAAATACATCTTTATATCTGAAAACAATGTTTTTTTTTATTTCATTTATGTTTACAATTTCAGTTCTATTTAAATCTTCAGGTGTTATTTTTGGCACCGTAATATTTAATTCAGATAACCACTGACGACCCAATAAACTAGTAGTACCGCAATTAATAACATATAAGTCTAATTTCTTGCATACTACTCCATATTGTACATCTACGGCTATTGAACCCTGTGGTTTAATTGCACTGCCGTCATAAAATTTAACCGCTAAATTACACTGTTTCAAAGGTATTTCTTTAAATAACCTCCTGTACGTTTGATCACTGATACATGATAATGCTGAACCGGTGTCAATCTCCATTCGTAAGGTTTTATTATTTACACACAACGTTAGGCTCACCGGTTTGTACTTGGAAAGACTCATTTGATAAATGGCCTCCTCGCATTCTTCGTTATCCGCAAAGTCCTGTGCTGCCTCCTCGAAGTCCTGTGCTGAGTCTGCTACCCAATGCAAGCGCGGGGCGCGCGCGCGCCCGCCGCGGCCGGCGCCGATGCCGCGGCCACCGCTGCCGCCAGTCGGCGCGCCCGCCGCAGCTTGCCGCCCCGCGGCCGCTACCCCCGGCCTGGCCCGGTTACTACTAGGCCCAGGCCAAGCACCGCCACCCCGCGTTTGCAAACGCGGTCTGTAACCGCCTGACACACCTTGATCACGTGTTCCATAATCACACATACGACGTAAATGGCCCTTTTCGTTGCACCGACTACACACGTATTCCTTAAATTTGCACTCGGCTTGCACATGACGGAAATCACCGCACGCCCTGCAACCCGCCGGTCGTACATTATGCACTGAGACACTGTTTTGATATAATCCCGTGCTACTGGCTGCCGCCCCGCTCCCCGCGTCGACCGCCAATGAATCTCGCTCGGCGGCTTCCAACGATAATGCCAAGGTCACTGCTTTATCGTAATTAATTTTTTCCTCCGCGAATAATCGTTGGCGCATTGTGTCACTCAGTAAGCCGCACACAAACTGATCTCGCATGTTCTTATCCAGTTCCGATCCGAATTCACAAGACCTCGCCATTTTTTTTAGTTGCGCCACGTACTGCGCCACCGTTTGACCGCTACCCTGCCGACACTGCCTAAACTTATACCGCTCTGCCAACTCCGACGGTTTTGGTTGAAGGTGTTTTCCCATCGCTTCAACTACTTTCTCGTAGGTCAATGTTGCGGGTTTATGTGGGCTGCACAGATCCACCATGAGTTCGTACGCCGCGTCACCCACTACCGATATCAAAGTCGGTAATTTCCTCTCCGCTTTTACGTCGTTGACCGTGAAGTAACTCTCCAACCTGTCACAGTACGACTTCCAGCTACCACTCTGCAGGTCAAACTCGCAAATTCTCCCAACAGACATGATGCAATTAAAATAAATCCTCGTCAGCCACTGATAAATAATGAACACGGTGTTAATCGTAGTACGTTTATTTTTGAA